CAAAATAACCTTAATATAACGAATGTCAAAATGATTGTAAACGCGACCAATTTAAGATATACGATCAAGAGGAAACATGAACGATGAATGAAAAAATCAAACAAATTTATTTTATAAAACAAAATTTACAACTCAAAAAAATTTTTTTTTGCATGCAATAAAATTCCATCAAAGTACAATTCAAGTGTGATTTATAGATCTAGTTCAATATTACACAAAAAATTGATCAGTGAATTTTAGGACCTAATAAAAAAGGCTCTATTAATTTGTTGCTTTATATAGATGGACATCTAAATTGTTTTTGGGGTTGTCTAAAGCCAAAATAGTATTTAGACAAAAATGTCTAAACGTCTAAATTAATATAAATAGTACTTGATTTGCTTTAAAAGTCACGTGTATATACAAAACATCCACAAAGTTCAGTAATTATTCAATAAAAAATTCAATTTCAGCATTTTAGACAATTGAGACCATGATTGTCTAAATGTCTAAATTAATTTATATTTTAGGCATTGTCTAAATAATTTGATTTAGACACCCATCTATATTGCTTTGCCTTTGAACTTTCATTTAATAGAAAGGATTCTAAATTTGGGCCGCTAGCTCATGAGTTCTATATTTTTTAGAAAGGTGATAAAAAGTTGTGATTAAGTAGCTCCCGCACCATATGAAGCAAAAAATTTGTTGTGATGCGAATTTAATTATGATTCGCTGACTGACTGTAATACAAATTTGTGATAAAAATAGAATTCTAAAAAAAAAAATTTATTAAAATTAAAAATGGATTCAACTATTTTTGAAATTTATTTTAACGAAAATGAAAGATTATTAAATACAGAAGATTTCTATGATGTGAAAATTTATGTTGGTATAGAACCAAACATTAAGGAGGTTCATGCACATTCATCAATCATATGTGCCCATTGTCCTTTTTTTCAAAATGCATTAACTGATGCAAAAAAAGTAAATGGTTACTACATTATTGAGAAAGCAAATCTTAATGAATTGGCCTTTAAGACAATACTGAAGTAAGGTTGCGGGAGAAACTTCTCCAGAAATCAATCGACAGAGTTTCGGCATGTTACACATTAATTGTTTATTAGAGTTTCGGCAGAGTTTCGCATTTGGGGTTTTCGCCAATCATCATAGTTTCAACAGGTTACACATTAATTGTTCATTAGAGTTTCGACAGAGTTTCAACAGTCATTAAGAGGTTTCGCCCACAACCTTATACTGAAGTAAGTTTGTTATATTATTGATAATAATAATTTTTATCATTTTTTAATTTATTAATAATAATATCAATAATAACATTCTACATTTAAAAGATTTTTATATACTTGTAAAATTGAATTGGATGAGCTTAATGGAGCAGATGTATTGCAATTATTGATTGCAGCAGATGAACTTGGCCTTGAGTTATTTTACAAACACACAATGAATTACTTTATCAAAAAACATGAGGATTACATTAAAGAAAATCCAATTAAAATTCTAAGATTAATCCACTCCAATGAAGAAAGATTTAAGGAATTGAAAAATATTTATCTTGAAAAATTTTGTGAATATAGTGATAAATTATTTGAGTCAAGTGAATTTGAATTATTAGAAAAATCAACTTTATTGGCTATACTTGAAAGAGATGATTTTCATGTTGATGAAATAATTATTTGGGAAAGTATTCTTAAATGGGGACTATCCAAGCATCCAGAAATTAACAATATTAATTATGTTAAAGTTTGGACAAAACAAAATTTTACTGATTTAGGAAACACTTTGAAAGAATTAATTTCTTTGGTTCGATTCCAGGATATCTCTAATGTGGATTTTCATTATAAAATTTTACCTTTTAAGGAACTTTTCCCTAATGATTTGTGGGAAACTCTTTTAGATTATTATTTAGGTTCTGAAAAACAGCAAACTTTAAATTTATTACCATCAAGGAATCAAAAAATTAAGACAATATTTCTAGAACTTGAATCAGTAACAATTAACCAAACATCATTGTTGCTTTTTGCAAGTTGGATTGATAAAAAAAATACACCATACACATCATTCAGAGAAGTCAAATATGAATTTAAACTTTTATATCGTAACAGTAGAAATGGTTTGGATCCAACTACATTCCATCAAAAATGTGATAATATCAACAAAACTCTTACAGTTGGAAGAATACAAAATTCAGAACAAATAGTTGGAGGCTATAATCCACTTAATTGGAATGGGAAGGAAAATAAAACTACAACTGATAGTTTTATATTTAACATAAAGAATCGAAATGATATTAATACTGCTCAATTTAGTTATGTTAATAATAGTGATAATCAATATGCAATTATATGTGATCCTTCTTGGTTACCTCATTTTGGTAAATATGATATTTATTTTGGTCTAAGTGGTAAAGTTTATAGTGTACCATTGATTTATGATGCTATCAATATAGTAGATGATAAACAATATGACGAATTAGAGGTTTTTCAAATCATTGAAAAATGAATTTGTATTTTTTAAATGAATTTTTATATTTTTATGTTTGGTTAATTTACTAAATTCTTTTATTTATAAATTTATTTTAATCCTTCTATCATAAATAAAATTTATAAGTAAAAAATCATCTATGTTGTTCATATTTTTTATAATGCATTGACTAATTATGACCATTGCAACAAAGCATGATGTATAATTTACTTCTGAGGGAAGGAAAATATTAATACAAATTTTAAGGTTGCAAATAATAAAATGATTTGTTAAATGGCTTTACCAAAAAAAAAAATTTTTTTAGGTTATTATAAGACTGCTCCAGTCTACATCAAAATGTTGCAGTTTTTCAATATGTGTTTAATATTTGGAAACCATATGAACCAGTGCAGAATATTTCTGTGAACATTTTCCCATATACTTTTAACACGAAAAACACATACTCCATGCATACCCTTTTCATATGTTTTGGTATGGGAAAGTTCAATTTTCCATATGTATATTACATGTGCCTTAGTACCTATTCAGTACTTATTCATACATAATTTTTTATAGTAAGTGGTGTTAAATTCATCTTAATGCAAATTTATAAGATTCGCTGAACAAAGAATTTTCATCATTTATAATATCTTAGATAGTATATATCAATTCGAATTAAAACTTCATTGATTTGTTCGGGGCCTTAGATATATTTATAAAGATAACTTGAAATTACTGGATTTGATGATGTGCTTAAAAGAAATGGGTTTAAATTACCTTCATCAGGTTTCATCCAACAATCATTTATTTTGCTTCAAAAATATTTTGAAAA